TGAGTCTCGGCCAATCCCAGTGGCCATACTTCAACTACTCATAGACTCCTAAGTGTTCACACTGTTTTCAAATAAGGCAAACACCAGCCTGCAACCAATTCAGCTGTTTCTGTGTCTCATTTCTGATTTCTGTATGTCACTTCCCTTTTCTTAACATAGAATTTGTTCTGACCATGAGGCATCCCTGGAGTCTCTCTGAATCTGCTGTAATTCTGGGAGCTGCCCAGAATATCATTCCTTGCTCAATTAAACTCCTTTAAATTTAATTCAGTTGAAGTTTTTCCTTTTTTTTTGAGATGAAGTCGCTCTGCTTACCCTGTTGCCCAGGCTGGAATGCAGTGGCGTGATTTTATCTCACTGCAACCTCTGCCTCCCAGGTTCAAACAATTTTCCTGTCTCAGCCTCCCGCGTAGCCGGGATTACAGGTGCCCACCACCATGCCCAGCTAATTTTTGTATTTTTAGTAAAGACAAGGTTTCGCCATATTGGCCTGGCTGGTTTCAAATTCCTGACCTCGAGTAACCTGCCTTCCTCAGCCTCCCAAAGTGCTGGAATTACACGTGTGAGCCAGCATGCCTGGCCAAGTTTTCCTATTAACAATTTACTAAAAGATTTCCAGTTTCAGGTCTAACATTGAAAGAGCTTGGACGTTGTCACTGTCATCTTTACAATAAGAAAAATCTGGACAAAGTGAAAATCAATGACTTTTCTTGGACCCACCAGAGAACTGAGTTTTTAGGGCAAACCGTTATGCTGGAATCTGAATAGAAAGGCAAATGTAGAGACTCACAGCTGGGATGTGCCTATCAGAAGAAGTTGCTGAAACCGTAAACTGGTAGGAACACTTACGTGGTGATTTTGATGAATTGCTGGAGGCTAAGTGTAGACTAGTATAAGAGTGGGGGCCTTTCCCACCAAATTCTCAAGGTAAATATCTAAGAAAGTTGCTTGTATGGCTCTGGTAGGGATGAAGGGTAAAGTAATTCTGAAATAAGCCCAAAGCCCTCTCCATAGCAAAGGAAGACCTGTTCTCCAGGGAAAACAACGTAACCAGATCCTTGTGCCAAAGTCACAAAAAAAGCTCTTTCTTCTGACTCCAGCCTCTATCTTCCTATCTTACCTATGGTGGAGGAAAGGTTATAGAAGAAGAAATACTCGTGAAGGTCCAGGCCAGACACACAGACTCAATAAAAGACTGCAATTGAATGGGAAGATTACAAACAACTCCCTCTCCTCTACATCTCACCACCACTCCAGCAAGGCTCCAGTATACTCATATATTATAATAAGATAATATTATATATAGTATTACTAATTTTTTTTAGAGACAGAATCACTCTGTCACCCAGGCTGGAGTGCAGTGGCATGATCTCGGCTCACTGTAACCTCCACTTTCCAGGTTCAAGTGATTCTCATGCCTCAGACTCCTAGTAGCTGGGGACTACAGATGTATGCCACCATGCCCAGCTAATTTTTTGTATTTTTAGTAGAGACGGGGTTTCACCATGTTGACCAAGATGGTCTCGATCTCTCGACCTCATGATCCACCCACCTCAGCCTCTGCGCCCGGCCCTTTTGGTATTTTTAATAGAGATGGGACTTCACCATGTTAGCCAGGCTGATCTCGAACTCCTTGCCTCAAGTGATCTGCCCGCCTTGGCCTCCCAAAGTGCTGAGATGACAAGCATGAGCCACCATGCCCAGACTTACTATATCATAATAGTAGTGAAGCATAACTAAAAAAGCTGCAAGACATAGACTTTCTCTAAAGAGAAGAACTTAGGGATACCCAAAGTCAAGAGAAGAGACTAAACCAAAAAACGTTAGAGGAATTTGAAGCCTCTGGCACTTATAGCTACAGCAAACATTAAACCAAGCTCAACCCCCAGCAAGATTAACATAAATCCTCACACACTTCACGTAGAGCTTTCAACAAAAAAATTTAAGGCATGTCAAAAGATACTACAAAAAATGTCTGAAGAGATAAGACAAACATCAGAACCAGACTCAGATGTGAAGAAAATGTTGGAATTATGAGACAGGGACTTTAAAATAACTATGGCCAATATGTTAAAAGACTTTAATGGAAAAAAAAAAAGATAATATGCCAGAATTGTTGAATAAGATAAGCAGTGAGATTAACATTTTAAGAAGCAATCAGAAGGAAATGTCAGATATCAAAAGTGCTGTAAGAGAAATAAAGAATGCCTCTGATGGGCTTACCGTGTACTTGACACAGTCAAGTCAAGAATCCATTAACTTGGCCTGGCACGGTGGCTCACACCTATAATCCCAACACTTAGGGAGGCTGAGGCAGGTGGATCACGAGGTCAGGAGTTCAAGACCAGCCTGGCCAAGATGGTGAAACCCCATCTCTACTAAAAAATACAAAAATTAACCAGGTGTGGTGGCAGGTGCCTATAATCCCAGCTACTTGTGAGGCTGAGGCAGAGAATTGTTTGAACCTGGAAGGTGGAGGTTGCAGTGAGCTGAGATCACGCCACTGCACTCCAGCCTGGGCAACAGAGACAAAAAAGAAAATGCATTAACTTGAAGATAGATCATTCCAAGCTGGAATGAATAAAGGAAAAAAGGGGAAAATTTGCAGAGGCCAAGTACTGTCAAATATATAACTTATATATAATTGGGATACAAGAAAAAGGAGAGAAGGGAGCAGAAGCAATATCTGAAGTTATAATGGCTACAAACTTTCCAAACTTTTTGCCTTCATGTGATCAATTTTTTTAGCTCCCACATATGAGTGAGAACATGTGATATTTGTATTTCTGTGCCTGGCTTATTTCACTTAACAAAATTGGCCTCCAGTTCCAACTACGTTGTTGCAAATGACAAGATTTCATTCTTTTTTATGGATGAATAATATTCCATTGTGTATATACACTGTTTATGTCATTCTTTTTTTTTTTTTTTTTTTTTTTTTTTTTTTGAGACAGAGTTTCGCTCTCATTACCCAGGCTGGAGTGCAATGGCACCATCTCGGCTCACTGCAACCTCTGCCTCCTGGGTTCAGGCAATTCTCCTGCCTCAGCCTCCTAAGTAGCTGGGATTACAGGCACGCACCACCATGCCCAGCTAATTTTTTTGTATTTTTAGTAGAGACGGGGTTTCACCATGTTGACCAGGATGGTCTCGATCTCTTGACCTCGTGATCCACCCACCTCGGCCTCCCAAAGTGCTGGTATTATACAGTATCACTCTGTCACATACACTGGAGTGCAATGGCACGATCTCAGTTCACTGCAACTTCTGCCTCCCAGGTTCAAGTAATTCTCCTGCCTCAGACTCCCAAGTAGCTTGCATTACATGTACCTGCCACCATGCCTGACTAATTTTTGTATTTTTAGTAGAGATTGGGTTTCACCATTTTGGCCTGGTCACGAACACCCGACCTCAGGTGATCCACCTGCCTCAGCCTTCCAAAGCGCTGGGATTATAGGTGTGAACCACCATGCCCGGCCTCATCAATGTTTCATAGTTTCATTGTAGAGACCTTTAGTTCCTTGGTTATTTCCTAGGTATTTTATATACTTTCCAGGTGCTGTAAATGGGATTACTATCTTGGTTTCTTTTTCATATTGTTCACTGTTGACATACAGAAATGCAACTGATTGTTCTATGTTGATTTTGTATCCTGCAATCTTACTGAATTTATCAGTTCTAATAGTTTTTTGGTAGAGTTTTTAGATTTTTCTAAATGTAAGACAGTATCATTTGCAAACAAGAATAGTTTGACTTCTTCCTTTCCAATTTGGATGCCCTTTATTCCTTTCTCTTGTCTAATTGCTCTAGCTAGGATTTCCAGTACTAGGTTGAATAACAATGGTCAACATGGGCAGCCTTGTTTTGTTTCGTATCTTAGAGGAAAGGCTTGCTGTTTTTCCCCATTCAGTATGATACTAACTATGGTTCTATCATATATGGCTTTTATCATGTTGAGATATGTTGCTTCTAGGCCCAGTTTTTTGACTTTTTATCACAAAAGAATGTTGAATTTTATTGAATGCTTTTTCAGCATTAATTGAAATGATCATATGTTTTTGTCCTTCATTCTATTGATATAATATATCAAGTTTATGGATTTGCATAGACTGACCTGTTTTTGCATTCCTAGAATGATTCCCACTTGATTATGATTAATTACCTTTTTTTTTTTTTTTTTTTTTTTTTTTTTTGAGATGGAGTTTCGCTTTCTTACCCAGGCTGGAGTGCAATGGCGCGATCTCGGCTCACCGCAACCTCCGCCTCCCAGGTTCAGGCAATTCTCCTGCCTCAGCCTCCTGAGTAGCTGGGATTACAGGCACGCACCACCATGCCCAGATAATTTTTTTGTATTTTTACTAGAGACAGGGTTTCATCATGTTGACCAGGATGGTCTTGATCTCTTGACCTCGTGATCCACCCGCCTCGGCCTCCCAAAGTGCTGGGATTACAGGCTTGAGCCACCGTGCCGGGCCCCATTATTAATTATCTTTTCATTTTTTACTTTTTTTTTTGAGACAGGGTCTCACTCTGCCACCCAGGCTGCAGTGCAGTGGTGTGATCTCAGCTTACTGCAGCCTCAAATTGCCAGGCTCAAGCTGTCCGTCAATCTCAGCCTCCTGAGTAGCTGAAACTACAAGTGCATATCATCACACCTGGCGAATTTTTTCTATTTTCAGTAGAGAATGGGTTTCATCATGTTGCCCAGGCTAGTCCTGAAATCCCGGCCTTGAGCAATCTGCCCACCTTGGCCCCACAAAGTGCTGGGATTTGCAGGAGTGAGACACCATGCCCAGCTGAATTATCTTCTTAATATGCTGTTGAATTTGGTTTGTTAGTTTTTTGTTGAGGATTTTTGCATCTATGTTTATCAGAGATGTTGGCCTGTAGTTTTACTTAATTTTTTTTTAGAGATGGGGTCTCACTCTGTTACCAAGCTAGATGTAATCATCGCTTACTGTATCCTTGAACTCCTGCTGAAGTGATCAATATGATTTTTATTATTTATTTTCTTTTTTTTTTTTTTGCCACGAGGTGTGTTTTATTTTCATTACTCAAACAAATAATTTTCTATAATATCCCGGGGCAAACTGGAGAATTTGGCAGTCCGATTGGGGGGGTCCCTTCGGAGACCCAGAGGCCGGTGGCATCAGCACAGAGTGCCCAGGTTCACAGTGCAGCTTGTGGCTCGTGTCCGTCTTGCAGGTGGCTCTTCCTCCACATCAGGACTAGGGTCTTTAAGATGGCGGAGACAGGAAATCCTCCAGGCTCTTAGGAAATTTCACTCCGCTTCTCCTGCTCAGTGGTCTCTTTGGTCGGCAGGGTGTTCTTCTGTGTCTCCGTTTTCTTCAGCTTGGCCTTATCGAAGCTGGCGATTTCTCCCATGTCTGGTTTGTCTACCATTTTCTTAAAACAATCCATACGGTCCCGCTCCAAGCCCGGATTTCTGGTGCTCCCACTCGCGTTGCTGCAGCAAGAGACTATTATTTATTTTCTTTTACTAATGTTGGGTTTTGTTTGCTCTTTTCTAGTTTTTTAAGATGCATCATTGGTTATTTATCTAAAGTTTTTCTACTTTTCTGATGTAGACATTTATTGCTACAATCCTCCTTCTTAGTACTACAATAATTTTGCATATCCCATAGGTTTTGGTATATTATGTTTCTGGTTTTGTTTCAAGAAATTTTTAAACTTCTTTCTTAATTTCTTCATCAACTCAATGGTCACTCAAGAGCATACTGTTTAATTTTCATGGGTTTTTATAGTTTTTAAAGTTCTTGTTATTGATTCCTAGTTCTATTCCATTGTGATCAGAAAGGATACTCAATATGATTTTAATGTTTTTGAATTTTTAAAGACTTGTATCGTGGCCTCATATATGGTCTATACTTGAGAATTTTCCATGTGCTGAGGAGAATAATGTGTATTCTTTAGCTGTTGGATGAAATGTTCTGTAAATGTCTAATAGCTCCATTTGGTCTGTAGTGCAGACTAAGTTCAATGTTTCTTTGTGGATTTTCTGTGTAGAAGATATGTCCAATGCTGAAAGTGTGATGTTGAGGCCTCCAACGATTATTGTATTGAGGTCTATCTCTCACTTTAACTCTAATAATATTTGCATTATATATCTGGGTGTTCCAGTGTTGGATGTAGATATATTTATAATTGTTATGGTCTCTTGCAGAATCAACCCCTTTATCATAATATGATAACTTTCTTGTCTCCTTTTACAGTTTTTATCTTGAAATCCATTTTATCTGATATAAGTATAGCTACTCCAGCTCCTTTTTTATTTTATTTTATTTTATTTTTTTGTACAGGGTGTCACTCTGTTACCCAGGCTGGAGTGCAGTGGTGTGATCATACCTCAACTGTAACCTCAAACTCCTGGGCTCAAGTAATCCTCTTACCTCAGCCTCCCATGTAGCTAGGACTATAGATGCATACCACCACACTCAGCTGATTTTTAGGTTTTTTTGTAGAGATGAGGGTCTCACTATGTTGCCCAACTGGTCTTGAACTCCTAGCCTCAAGCAATTCTCCCACCTCAGCTTCCCAAAGTGCTGGGATTACAGGTATGAGTCACCATGCCTGGCTCTTGCTCTTTTTTGGTTTTCATTTGCATGAAATCTCTTTTTCCATTTCTTTATTTTCAGTTTATGTGTGTCTTTATAGGTGTCACATGTTTCTTGTAGGCAGCATAAACTTGGGTCCTTTTTTTTTTTTTTATGAGACAGAGTCTTGCTCTGTCATCAGACTGAAGTGCAGTGGCACAATCTCAGCTGACTGCAACCTCCACCTCCTGGGTTCAAGCAATTCTTCCGCCTCAGCCTCCCAACTATCTGGGACCACAGGCACATGCCACCACACACAGCTAATTTTTTTTTTTTTTTTTTTTTTTAGTAGAGACGGGGTTTCACTGTGTTGGCCAGGATGGTCTCGATCTCTTGACCTCATGATCTGCCCGCCTCAGCCTCCCAAAGTGCTGGGATTATAGACATGAACCACTGTGCCCAGCCGGGTCCTTTTTTAAAAAATCCATTTAGCCACTATGTCTTTTGACCAGAGAATTTAGTCCAATTACATTACATGTTATTGCTCACAGATAAGACTTACTGCTGCCATTTTGTTATTTGTTTCTGGTTGTTTTGTTGGTCCTCTCTTTTGTTCTTCCTTCCTTCCTATTTTCCTTTGTGGAAAAGTTATTTTCTCTGTAGTATGTCTTCATTCCTTTTGAAAAATTTTTTGTGTATCTGTTGCAGATTTTTTATCTGTGGTTACCATAAAGTTTGCAAATAACATCTTATAACCAACTATTTTAAACTGATGACAATTTTACTCTAATTACAAAAAAAAAGAAAAATTTAAAAATCTCTACCTTTTAATTCCATCCTTTTCCCCTTTTTGACATTTTGGTTTTTTCTATTTATATATCTTAATACTATATATTTATTAAAAAGTTGTTGCAGTTATTATTTTTGATAGGTCTTTTAGTCTTCCTACTCAAGATAAGAGTGGTTTACATACCACAATTACAATGTTAGAGCACTCTGTATTTGTCTGTGTACTTACTATTACTAGTGAATTTTGTTGTTTTTTTTTTGTTTTTTGTTTTGTTTTTTTTTTTTTTGAGATGGAGTTTCGCTCTTCTTGCCCAGGCTGGAGTGCAATGGCGCAATCTTGGCTCACCGCAATCTCCGCCTCCTGGGTTCAGGCAATTCTCCTGCCTCAGCCTTCTGAGTAGCTAGGATTACAGGCACACGCCACCATGCCCAGCTAATTTTTTTGTATTTTTAGTAGAGACGGGGTTTCACCATGTTGACCAGGATGGTCTCGATCTCTTGCCCTCATGATCCACCCACCTCGGCCTCCCAAAGTGCTGGGATTACAGGCTTCAGCCACTGCACCTGGCCTCTTAAATTTATTTTTGTAGAGACACAGTCTTGCAATGTTGCTCAAGCTGGTCTCAAATTCCTGACTTCAAGCAGTCCTCCCACCTAAGCCTCCTAAAGTGCTGGGATTATAGGCATGAGCCACCATGCCCAGCTCTTAATGCTATATTTGAAATTCTACTTATACTTCTTATTATGTTTAAATTATATCTTGAATTTAATAATTTAAAGTAACTAGAAACCTTGTAGTCATCAAGAAAAGCAATGCAATAACAGAGGAGAAAATGATTTCAGGAAGCATCTGGTTTTCTAAACATGCAGATATTTACCACTGCAGGCCATAACACAGCTATGCATACTTTATTATTAACGAAGTATGCAGTTTATGCCTATAAACATTCACCTGGGATTTTCCAAGCATCTTGTTCATGATACCATTTGGGTAATTATGCTTGTCTCTAACATGAAGTTATAAGCATCAACATATCCCTTGGGTATTTATAAGATCGTTTATTATTTAACAGATTTTCCATTTTCTGCCTACTTGATTCTGTACTAGGTTCTGCCCTCATATTCTTCTATCTAAATCTGAGCCATCACCTAAAACACACTATAAATGTTTCCTCCATTGAGCTCATAGCAATCTTTCTACATAGAGTTCTCATGCTGTTTGCATTGTTATGGGATTCTTACCATGCTTTCTCTTTCTAGAGAGAACATCCCTCCCCTCTGTGGAGACATAAGGAGTGGAGGAGAACCCAAGCCCCCTGGCAGTTTTCAGTTTAATAATTATAGCTTTGGCCATCCATGAGAGTAACTACCTTCCTCCAAATAATAAATCATTGGGACAGCCTTGGGTCCAACTGCAATAAGTCACTGTTGAAGACATTATGCTATGTGAAAAAAAAGCCAGTCACCAAAGACCATAAATTATATTATTCCATTCACATGAAATAACCAGAATATTCAAATGTATGGAAACAGAAGGTAGATGAGTGGTTGCCTGGGGCTGTGGGAGAGGGTAGGGAGGCAGTGGGGGAAAATGCAGAATGACTACTAACGGGCATGGGTGTTTTTTGGGGGATGAAAATGTCCTAAAACCATAGTGATGGTTGCATAGCTTTTTAAAATATATATATCTATTATCATTATTATTTGTTTGCATCACTTTTAAAATATACTAAAACCTATTTAATTGTACTTTTTTGTTTTTGAGAGAGTTTCACTTTGTCACCCAGGCTGGAGTACAGTGGCATGAACCTGGCTCACTGCAGCCTTGACCTCCTGGGTTCAAGTGATCCTCCTGCCTTAGCCTCCTGAGTTCCTAGGACTACAGGCATGCATCACCATGCCTAGCTAATTTTTAAATTTTCTGTAGAGGCAGGGTTTTGCAATGTTGCCCAGGCTGGTCTCGAACTCCTGAGCTCAACCCACCTGCCCACCTCAGCCTTGCAAAGTGCTGGGATTACAGATGTGAGCCACCGTGCCTGGCCAAACTGTACATTTAAACTGGGTAAATTGGTATGTGAATTACATCTCAATAAAGCTGTTGAAAAAGAAACCATTGACCTTACATCAGCCACTACCCTCAGAGTCACCCTATGCATATGTATACTACAAATCTTCATAATTATCAAACTGTCCCCACAGGGTTAACAAGAATTCTGGACAGAGTGTAATTATAATTAAGCAGCTATAATTAATCAGGCTGTGCTTTGGCCCTCTTCCTTGTAATTGAAAGTAACGTTAGATACTGACCACTCGTATTCCCACTGTTCCTATAGTTAGGATCTCTGATGTTAGAATCATAAGGCTTTTGCTTAAGAATTGCTTAAGATGTTTTTCAGATTTCAAATTCCAGGGAAACAGCTGATGCCAACCAATTTAAGGACCCCCGGAGAGGAACCAAACCGGCATGAGAAAAGTTTCCTTCTCTCCCTGTCCCATGACTTCACTCTACATTTTCGACCATTCAACAATCTCCATGCTTTGGCCCACTCCAAAACCCTTAAAAGTTCTGTCCCCAAATCCTAAGCGATACGGATTTGAGGTTTCCTCCCATTTCCTCATTCAATGGCCCCACGATTACACCTCTTTCTCTACTGCAACCTGGTATCTTGGTGCACTGGGTAAAGGACCTACAGTTATAATCAGATACAATGACATCTTGTCCTTTGAATTTTCTTGTGGGACCCCTGGTGGGCTATTCATCTTATGCTGAAAAAACCTCTGAAACGAGTCATGGCTTTAGTCATGGCCTTATTCCTCTTAGACAAAATATTGCTCCCTAATCTTTTTCCCACCACTTCAGCCAGTTTGGACTCTGGCATTTATAAAATGAACTGGCACACCTTTGAGAGTGGAAGGAAGAGCTATCAATAATTACTCTGACACATAAACCATAAGCTAGGACTGTCCTGAGAAAAATATTAAGACATATAGTCCCTAAACACAGCTCAACAACCATGGGTATACAATGAGCCTAGTAGCATGATTCCAAATAAGGAAATGTCAACAATATTTAAAAACTGCAGATTTGAACAATACAAATTCCCTTTCATTATCAAATTCCCAGGTGACATT